TGTATAACTATAGTTATATAATATATGTATGTGTTCTAATATATTAATATCATGTAATATTTATACTCCCACCAAACACTCCACAAGGAGGACACAGATTGCCCGCCTCTTGTTGGCCACCCAGAAAGGCATGTTGTACGCAGCATAGGTGCAAATCACCTGAGGTTTCTTGGAACCTTCCCGGAATCTATCCATCCTCACTACTAGGGTCTTCGTGAAGTCCGGGTGAAAATCATTGTTGGCTGTTCAAAAGAGAGTCATCCACAAGTACGGCCTAAATAGAGTCTCAGTACAGTACAATTCAATATTGGAACCATCTCATGTTGTTGGGATGTGCAAACTGTCACACATGTCAGGAAATATTGGAATCAGTTTAGACGTCGGTGATCAAAGACTCAATGTACTCCAAAACAAGACCTAGGACCTAGGACTGGAGGGACCTGAAAACTGTGCGACAGGTCAGCAAAAACAACAAGGGATGCATTTTGCGCACGAAAAGGGAAAACAACACCGTCGCCTTGCTCATGTTTGCTCTGAATTTGTTTTTGTTTCATCCAATGAGGGAAGCTGTGGAGGTGTCCCTGCCCAAAGGGATGGTTTTCCTGTGTGTTTGTCATTTCATCAAGGTCAGGAGATGTTAGATCCCTGACCAAAAGGACACCCAACGATGGCATCGTAATGATCAAACCAGCAAAATGACAAGAACTGTGGGATCTTTTGTGCCGTGTGAATTGGACCCGTTGGGCTGCGAGTACATGGCTGGATTGTGGGGATATTCTGTGCCATAAACAGGGCTGAAACGACTTGGGCCAGAAATCGTACATACGGCTACCTAGCTACGAACAGCTATGCAGCAGCTACTCATTGATGAAAGTGCTGGCCAAAAAATAAATCCTGAACCACCTATTCAGTTGGCTCAGTCATTCCAAGCAAATTTTCAGGTGTCTGCATGGATCCATCCACTATCTGTCCATCTCTAACATGCAAACACACACCGCGACTCTATGCAGGCCCAATTACCACATGTCACATCTTTATATCACTCCACACCCCAATCATCGCCCGGTTGTTTCAGGGGTCGCTGTCCATCGGACGCGTCAGGACACCGGTTACCGGCTCCGCCCGCAACTCACGCCTGGAATCCCACCACGTACAAGGTCTGTAAGGCGAGGCCTGGCGGAAGATTCCAAAGCGAGGCCTGTACCCCAAAAAAGACTAGGCCACAAGATTCGACATGTTTCAGTAAAATTTGAACATATTGGAGATGCTACATAAAGCCCAAACCAGAACGCTTATGTGCTTTGAGTTTTTCTCTGCTTGTGCCGCCAATCTGCTTTGCTGTTCCGAGGATATAAAATTCCTTTACTTAGAGTTTTCCACGGCGATTTGGAAGAAGGGGTTTTACACTCTTGTTGCTTGTTCTGGCATCAACTCTGGTATGTGCTCTGACACATCACAAATAATAAAGGCTGGGAATTATTTGAACTGTGTTCTGACGTCCCTGTTGGTATGTGTTCTGACATTTGTACTGCCGTGAAGTCTGGCATGTGCTGTGGCATTTGGTCCGACTTTGGTGCTGATATGTGTTCTGACATTTGTTTTAGTTATTTGCCCTGCCATCAAAGAAATATCAAAGAAGTGTTTATATATATATATAGGCATTCTATCTGAATGTTTTAGTCTGGCATTCTACTCTTCTGGCGACTTTCTGGAGTTCTAATGTTCTATCTGGTTCAGGTCAGGCACTGCGATCTAGCGCTCGCGGTGGAGGTCCAACGCAGCCCGCTGCGCTCTACCGCTCACGGTCGAGGTCCGACAGTGACCCCACTGCGCTCTAGCACTCGCGGTCGGGTGCCCACTGCGATCTGGTACTTGTGGAGGAGGAGAGGAGAGGACATCTCTGATAACATCTAACGACCCTCACCTGGCAAATGGGACAAAGAACTACTTTTGAAAAGCAGCTCCCATCAGCGCCCAATTTCGGTGCCCAGCGATGTACATTGTCTTTTCAGAGTGTCTGCAGAATCTCACGAGGTAAAGCTCAGTGCGCAGGGTTTCCCTGGAGCCATTCGCGGGTCCCAGTCGGGGCTGCGTCCGTACACACCTTCATTTGGCTGTGAATCGAAACCTTCCCCACCAAACCATGGCAGGTTGACATCCTAATTATCACGGGATCTGTTCATTTGACCCGGGGTCAAGCAGGGTGCGGTGGACTGACCTACAGCCGTTTATTTGTTTCCATTGACCTACAGAGACAGACATCGGCCTTATGGCTGTCTGACATCGGTCACATCAAGTGTGCTTCTCTTCCGAGCTTTGGGACGTCGTCAAGTTGATCCTCCGATTGCACGCGATGGTCAGGACCATCGTGCTCGTCCTCCGCAATGTCGGACCATCGAATCCACGGTGCAAGATCAGCCTCCACTGCCAAAGGCCACAGCAGCCAGCGGCGGTTCAGCGTGGATGTCTCTGTCAAGGCCAAGGACGCACATCTCCAAGGTGTGTGGGTCGAACACACGCAAAGGTGGGTCGACACTGCACGCATCATCGTGCATCGCCTCCGATGAGTTTCGTGGAGTTTCTCTTTGGATCCACAACCATGTGATATGATTGCAATGCATCAACGCACAGCTCGCATTGGATTGCAATACCTCCTTTCAACAAATGGGACATCCGAATCAAGTCAGCGGACTGGAGTGCTGCACAATGCTGCCATGCGGCCACAAACAGCGTTTTACTCCATGTAAAGCAGCAAGCATCACCTTCAAAGCATCACCGTGCAAAGATCTCGTTGCAGCCTTTTTGGTGGAATGAAATGACTGTCCAAAAGACCCAAGTCCAGGGGCCCACGGGGGCCCGGGGCATATGGAGCAGTCAGCCAGAGAGAACTGCCTTTCAGTTGACCAGCAAATGGCAACCATCCAAGTATCTCGACCATCCATAATCGAATGTTTGACTAGGCGAGCCAAGTGCCTTGGACACTGCCCCCTTGGGGCTGGTAGATCATGGACAATATACTAAAACATACGAGAACCCAGCATCTGAATGTAAAATTAACATGTGGCGATGGCAAATTACATAAAACACATCCAAACCTGCCGCATGGAAATGAGCCTATCCTGGAAACACTTATTATACAATGTTTTGCAAATTCAACACGCAACCACCTCAGAACTCGGAACAAAAAAGCAATAATCTTGCATCGCAGTTTTGTTTCTTCTCTACTTTTTGGGAGAGGATGGAAGAGTCGCTGTACAGTGTACAATGATGTACATGCCTCAATTGAATGGTGACGAATCGAAATCTCCATCAAACCTCCCATCACCAAGGTCGACCCGCTTTCAGGCCCGTACCGATCGTCCGCATGATGTCAGCTTCTGCGTCGTCGCACAAGATCTCCGGGAAGGCTTGCACGCTCCTCGCGGTGTTGCTTCAGCACATGTGAGACAGAATCCAGAATATAGTACATGGAAATACATGGAAGTCGATGGCACCCCTTGTTTGTAGAGGAACATGGTCTTCCAAGCGGGCCACTTTCCACTTCCATGTTCGTTCCAGGGAGTGTAATCTTATTCAACACTGACTGGGGACACGTCAGTAACATGTATCCCCATGACCATTGGTTACCGGTGTGTTTTTTTTTGAAAGGTGGTCAAACAAAGGTTCAGTTTCAGGGTCTATGCATTGTCTTTTGGGTGCGTTTCAAGTTGTCTCTGATGTTCCCACGTGGTATAGGATACAGCGAGGGAAATCCAAAATAATGTCTGCGCTGCATATCGTGCAGTGTGCGTGATGTAGATTGCATAAATCTAGCAAATCTTCTACAAGGCCACTTGGAATCACTTGGATGAAATGCTCAAATGCAGGTCAAGTCTTTCCCCAGGCCAAAGGGATTGTCAAGCATCTACTCTGGAGTCTTGCAGCAAACACCCCTCGGCAGGCAACAAATGAGCTTGTTTCGGAAAAAAGGTGCAAACTTCTGAACTGGTCATATTGTCACAATCCAAGCGCCACGGGGCCTCCTATTTCGCCAAACAAAAAAGAGCTGCACATGCTGCCTCAATTTCGGCACCGGCAGGACCTCCTGTTTTGGGATGTTTGGGGTGTGCTTGGACTGGACTGGACACCCGAATCGCGGTCTCTCCGCGGCCCGCAGACGCGGCCCGTCCTCTTGTTGTTGGGATGCAAGAAGCAAGTGAAGGGTGCATTTGCCACACAGGACAAGGTGGTGTGGGCCAAGAGTGTCAAGGAGCCAATGGTGCCTGTTCGAACAATCGAACAGAGCCGGAGGGACTGGTCAAACGAGGAAGAGGGACCCCGGAGAGACCCTGGAGGAATCCGGAGGGACTCTGGAGGGACCCCGGAGGGACCCCAGGGGCCCTGTTTAAAGGGAGATCATTAAAACAACAAGGTTTGAAGAACCAAAACTGGAAACTGTCATGGCACTCAGGACATCATGTGCTATTCACAGGTGATGGATGGCAGTTTGTGTGCAACATTGTGCCACTGTCACACGTGTTTTTCCTCCTTTACCTTCCGATGCCAGAATATATCAGTCGGGTCAATGATGAACGGACACTTCCGATCTCATGATGAGTCTTTCACACTTTCTTGAAGGTAGATAGCATGCAAAACAGCATACTTGATTCTATCTCTGGTCTACGTCTCATAGCTAAAATTTGAACATTAGAGCTGTGAGTATAGCAACCTGATCCGGTGAAGTTCCTGAGTGTCATTGTGGGTATGCCAGTTTCACTGGCATTGCGGCATTCCCAGAAAGGGACCCCTGACTCAGTTGAAAAAACACTATTCACATCTATTCACTATTCACTTGACCCACTTGATGCTGCAAGAAACAACTCCCTTTGCATCCCAGTCGACTCCCAAGTGACACCTGAAGACTATGAACAGGAGTAACTCCACCAGTTACCACGTGAACCCAATTGGGTTGGACGTTCGAGCTACTTTTTGTTTGCCCTTTAACGTTCATCTCAAACGACCCCAAACACGACACATGCGCTGCTACCGAGGACAGCACCGAAGCGTTTCGCCTTCAGCGGTGGTCTCGCCGTTCCGCGCTTTCGCCCAAGCGGCTGGAGACGCGAACAGAGGTCCAGCGCCGAGACTCGCCGAGGAACAGGAAAGTGAGGTAGCCAAACATGATCAGCCACAACCCGAAAAAAGAACGGCCAAACAGCCCGGTCGGGTGTCGGTCGGGACCGTGGGTCGCCTCCAAACCGTGTGGGCGACCGACTACGATGGAACAAGTCCGCTGTGAAGGCGCCTTCACGGTCGGAGAGGGATTTCGGAGCAGGGATCGAGTATGTAAGTATACCACAGCTTGCTGTCCATGAGACGACTTGAGAGGAGGGAGACACGAAAGGTAGGACAGCGGGAAGAGAACAGAACGCGAGAGGCAGGAACAAAAATGCAATGTTCGACATGGTGATTTATCCCCTCGGAGGCGACCTTTCGTAAATATATGTTCATATGCACCTTAAATGTTCAAACATGTGCTCTCGAAATGTTCAAAAAGATTCTTAGGAAAACAAACTTGCCCCATGGCTCAGATCATCGGTGAGCATTGAATCGGAACATCATAGGATTTGAACTATCCTGAAACCATAAGAGGCTCACGAAGACGCTCCCCAGGAGAGAATTGACGTGCTTCACAAAACGTATCCCCTCGGGGAACACCTTTCGTGATTAGAATTTCATATTCACTCTTTCTAAATGTTCAAGAGGGTTTCAACTATCCTGAAATCATGAGAGGCTCACGAAGACGTTCTCCAGGAGAGAATTGATTTTAGAGGGGGGGAGGGGGGGGGGGTCTGAATTGAGCGATCAATTATTAGACCCGGACGTCCCAACACTTGCTTCGCAAGACAAACTCAAGGTATCCCCTAAAGGGCTACCTTTCGTGAACAGTCGGTGAGTATGCCTCAAGTAGATGTAGAAGTATACCCGGAGCAATGCCAGCTTTAAAACCTTTAAGTTCATCTCTTTCTTCATTTTCACACCTTACCAGTGAGCTAACTCTCGAGTCTCAAGTTGGAGTCTTTAACATCCACTCTGAACAAGCCGGAGCCTGGGAGACCGTCTGCATGGCAGACCTTCGCGTGAATGTCTATTTGAATGACCGGATTGTCATAGTCAGTTCTCAGTTGGCCCATGAAAATGTGTCAGCCCTCCGCCCCGGCTGGTCATGGATAAAACAAAACAGCCTGTTACATCCTGTTACACTCCGACTCATTCAGATGGAGGAGGAAACCACCCTGCTTGTAGAGGAAAGTAGTCTTGCCATGCAGGATTACCACATTCAATCGGCCAGTTTTCGTTCCTTCTCTTGAAGAGTGGAGTTTTGACAAACGGCATGCATTTCAAAACACAGTTCGTACATATACACTCAGTCGATGCAATCTGGACACTCTTGTGCCCGACTGCCAATGGCCAAATCGTCCATCAACAAATGATATGCGGTGCCTTCTTTCTGTTCTTGTTTTTCGAACCACCCAGCGCCGTCCCTCCGTCGGCTCCATCTTACGGTCGCCAGGGTTCTGTGCAAACGGCACCAGCAAAGTGATGAACCTGGTCGGAACCGCTGGTCAGTGGGCGAAAAACGCACTGATTTTTTGCGCAGCGCATGCAGGAGGCATACAGGATTCCGGGCGAAATGAAGCACTTGAAGCACCTGCAAAAAGAAAGAGGTGTTTCAAAGACTACAACATGGCCGGACGCTGCATGCGCTGCAACCCCAAGCAACTGGGAGTGTACGACAGGCCGCCAAAATCAATAATGCTACCAAGACTTTTAGGTCTTGCACCACTTTGGCGACACAAAGTGAATTTCTAGGGCAAAGGCCGGCCCCAGAATGATGTTTGCAACAAGAACCATCAATCTCCAGAAAACATTGCTTAATCAGCCTTTCCATCAAACCTGAGTTTACCAAGGACATAAAGAACCAATTTCTTGCAAGCCAACTCGACTCTTCTACCCTAAGAAGTACTGTAGAGACCACTGCCAAACCCATCAGCTTCATGTTTAAAAGGTCAAGTTCATACTCACACACACACACAAACAACAACAAAATTTATCCAGCACAGGAACCAGTGCATCCCTCAATGGGTCAAGCACTCAAGCAAGGCATCCCTCAAGTAATGCCCTTTCTCAATTTCAAGGACACTTTATATCGTGGACTTCCCTTGCTTGCTATAGACATTCTCTCATATTTCCTATGAGCAGTGAAACTTGTTCATAGACCAACTCTACCCTACCCCGTTGTTAAGGTTTAGTGCGTCGTCCCATGCACCAAGAACTGCAAAACCATGAGTTCTTGGATCCTTCCACCTCCCGAAAGACTGGCTCCATGACACACACACACACACACACACACACACGAGTCCAATCGATCGCTGAGGTGCAAATAGCTACTGATGGTCCGGTTCCCGACCACACAGCGAAGCCCCCAGTAATCCAGGTCCAAGATGAAGAGCTGCGCATTGCTGAAGAGAATCTGAGCAGCACAGGCAGCGGCGCAAAGCGGCGCGCAACGGCGTGGTGGCCAACTAAGAGGCCCAAGCCAACGGAGTGTGTCCAAATGCAAAGCAATTGGAAGAGTAAGTGAAAACTATACACTAAGACGTACTAATAAGAAATATACTAAGCAGCTCTAACATATTAGGCATACCGGCATACCCTCATGAAAAAGCTACCGGATTTTATGCCGTCCCTGATGCCTTCCATGCCTGAGGCAGCTTCTGACAAAGCACAACATGTCTTCAAGCAATCCCAGATTCCAGCAAGACTCCTACACTCCATGTAACAAACCTACAAAGAATAGAGCACTTCAAGAGTTAACGGAAGCCGGCGCTGAGTTCCTTCCGGGGAGTGTTTTTGCTTCCCATGCGTCCGACCGTATCCACCCGAATGCCAAACTTGTTGTAGAGTCGACCTCTCCACCACGTCCCCACCGTTACGGGGCTGGCGAAAGAGTAAAAAACATCCAATCTGTTTTTAACCTGAAGCCTCATGCAAATGCATGCAAATACAAATGCATATTAATATATGTATGTTGCGTGTGAATCTGTATTGTAGCTATTAGGCTAATACTGCACAAATGCTCTAGCTCACAAAGTTCCTGAGTCTACAGGTGAATCTCCAAGCGGCTTCCACCTCTTCCGGCCATTCCACGTCCACTAAACCTCGCAAAGAGCTCAGCTCGCTTTGTCACATGGATTTCTGCGGAAAACATGGCAGACTCCCTGCCAACCCCCTGCAAAGTAGGACAAACATGATCGGTACCGGTGAAACCTCTTAATTGGGGTCCTTCATTCTGAGAGGATCTCACATATTCCGACGTGCTCGTTCTCTGAAAACAAAAAAGTGCAATGAAAGCCCCTTTGCCGCTGGTCTTGTCAAGACAAACAAGGGCTCTTGGCAGGTATTAAAAAAAGAAAACATGCTTTGTCAAATATTTTTTGATGCTCTGGTACATTCTGCAATCGGACAAACTGGGCCCTGACTGTCTACTTGACCTAGAGTCATGAAGTAAATAAGCAGCGTTAATCAAATTTATTCAGGAAGGGTATTTTTGACAAACCGGATCTTGTTCTTCAAGCAACATCAGCTGGCTTTAGCTTCATCTTTTAAGCCAGCAACTTAAATATTGACCTGCTCCGTTCTTGTATATATATATATACACACAGTGTTTCACCAAGTTCTGCAGTCGCTCATACTGCCAAACAATTAACGAGTAGCTCATGACTCATTGAGATCATGGAACCGATTGCTACTCATGGTCATCTTTTAAACACACATGATGACTGTTCATGGCACACCGCATATGCATGGCAAAGGCAGCGATCCAGCCCACTTGCCCAACATCCCAACTCGCTTCGAGTGGCCGATGATTGCTACGATCTGAAAAACTCCGATCATGTTGAGCTGGATCATGCCTTATGGCGACCGTTCGACCCGAAGCAAGAAACTTAAAACATGGAAAAACCTTGGCAGTCGGAATGAAACAAAAACAAGAACCTCAAACGCATTGTTTTGCCGAACATCAGGTCATGGTTATTGGATGTTCTTGGGTTCGGCAGACTCATGGGTGAAACATCAAGAAGTTGAGACCCCCACTTGCGCCACTTGTTCTTCTTTCATCCCTTGGGAGACTCTACTGAGTCCAGTTCAGCCCCTTGGAAACCACTCCTTTTCGTTTCCAGGGCAGAGAGACTCGAACGACGGGAAGACACGGAGCGGCGGCCGAGCGGAGCGTCGGCAGTGGCCCGGTTGTGTCGGTTGATCTGATGTCTGACCTTGCTCCGCCACAAAGCAAGGGGAATGACCTCAGCCATCTTAACTTGAATACTTTGGAGCGTGGTACGGCTCCTGGGCAACCACGCTCCTGGTACGCTCCAGTTACGAGCTCTCGTCTCACGCGTTTCTCATGCGGGTCGGCAAAACGTCTCATCTCCAAGATGCTGATCGCCTCAGATGTGGAGGCCTTCGGAGAAACCTCGTTGCTGACAAAATAGTAGCTGCCCGTCACCAAAACGAAGACCAAAACGATTCCTCAGTCATGGATGTTCCATGCTGCGATGCTTTGGATGAGCTTGCTGCTTGCTTCATGGAGGCCTTCACATTTGTATACAAGCTAAATCCAACTTGTGTAGTGCCCTGTCTTGATATGACATGTTCCTGCTGTATTCCTTCCTCTAGCTTCTTTTTGTTTATCCCTGCCATCATACATTTCTAGTTGTCTTCATTGCTGGCCTTGCTTCCATTTCTGTGTAGCTCTTGCTGTATTTTTTTATCAGCCTGATGTCATTACATTGCAGAATGCAACCATCAGCTGCTTCTCCCAGTGCAACTGCTCAGCAACAATTGCACGGACAACTACTCGTCTGAAGCGAGAAGCCAGTCCTAGAACGCATGACAAGCTCGTATACTCAAGGCACCACCTATCAAACTTGGATGTAGCCAAGCGAGGATGTCGTGGAGTTCCAGCTTGACCGGAGCAGCTAGGCAGTCAACTTGACTGCTGAAATTTGACAGGTCCATGAGAAGGACCTGTATTTTTCATGCAACATTTCTGACAGAAAGTCACTTGTTGTAACCAACCCAGAACTCGTCCCGGTTAATCATTGGTCCTCCCACTCCTCCCACGGTCTTCGCGGACTTCCAGGACTTATCTTTCAATTGATTCAACTATAACTATATCCTCTTAAACCTGAAGTAGGGTCAGAATTCATTGTGTGCGGCTGTTGCATCGTCGTATTTGTGAGTCCCCTATCGACCTGCCCGGATCTCAAAGCACTGGCAGGCTGCCCCGTCCGTCCAAGCAGCCAATGGCCCAGATCACCAGGAACCCCGCTGAGCAGTCTCGACACTGCCCTTGCAACCAAGTTTTACCTGTGACGCATGACGCTTCGTCACGTCACAGTCCACCTTGCATTCGTCACGGTTCGATCCTGTTAGCAATGGAGACAGTTATTTAAACAACATGTGTAGTGTTCCACCAGGGTAGTTTCTCAAGGGAGTTTAAACTACAGTAACCATAGGATTACAATGTAATACATTTTAATCATAGACTTCTCACCCTCATAGCAGAGCTTTGGAACTAAACGCCGCGTGCTGAGAAATACGGTGCACCCCAGTCACCAATCGGTCAAAACATGTCGTCTATACCTGAGTTGGGGGGACTGCTGGTTGAGTTTGTTTTCGCTATAATGTAGACTCTTTATTAATGACACCCCGCCTTTGGATTGTAAAACCTCTTCTACCCCACTCGCCTTCCCATCCGCGAACGAATCCCCTTGTGGGATGGGTAAAACGCCACCGTGGATGACGGATTGTAAACCTCTTCACATGAGAATGTTCTGCATCAAGAGTCTACATATGTCTACATTAGTTGCCTTAGCTAGCGTCGCTACCACCTAGCCATGGCGACTCGATCTTTCACTCGACTGACTCGACTGACGCCAATCACCCTCCATCCGGTCTTCAGCCTCGCCTTCAGGGCACTGCGCACAGGAGGAACCAATTCGGCCCCCGGCACATTGGCCCGGCACCTTCGAGATGCGGAGATGCGCGGCGCTGAGCGGAAGGGCCAAAGAAGGCTCCCAGGCAGAAAGGAAGAAACCCCGACTTGAGAATTGAACGTCACAAGGTCATCCATGTGGTAAAGATTGGTAAAGGAAGATCTTTAAATGAATTATGCATAAAATATCAGAATCATAATGGATTTTCCTTTGTTGTGGCAATGTCATCCGTTTGTTCATGTTTGTTTTTAACAAACAGGTACACGCCACACCTTGAGATCAATCCGTTGTTTTCAGTTCTGAAACCTTCTTCACCCTGGCCGAATTGAGTTTTGAACTCTCTATGTATCTTAGGTATTGAAAGACCGTCACCATGATGTCCAATTGCACCCATATCATCCTACATACATATTCACGACCTCATATTTCAAGCAAACAAATGTCACCCGCTGGTTGACACCCGCTGGTTGACATGTACCCCCACCCCACAAAGGCAACAGGAAAGGCCAAGTATAAAAGTGTTGATTTGGATTTCATGGTCCCACATGTAAGGGACGGTGAGACGGGAGTGGGAGGGTTGTTCTAGAAGGGAAGTCAACATACGGTTTGTCGGATACTAAACATAAATGGCGATGTAAGACTGCAAACGCCACCAGAACACTACAAGGTTCTGACTTTGGAAAACATCCAAGGGCACCAACACATATGTAATCATATGTATAATGTACATACATACATTTCCCTACAAGAACTGATGACTAATGCTCAAAAGCATAAAAACAGTGCCTGTGGAAGGATCACTAAGGATCTCATGGAGTAAAGAGTGTGTTTATTAGTACACTGCGTTTACATGACATAGCACAAGACATCACAGATCACAAATATCATAGAATAAAATACACATACATACATACCCTAACTTACCTTACATTACATACAAAGAAACATAGATACATACATACATACATACGTTACATACTACATTACATGGAAACATGCATACATTACACTACACTACATTACGTTACGTTACGTTACGTTACATTACATTACACTGCACTACACAACACAACACACACACAACACACACGCATACATACATGCACACATGCATTCATGCACACATACATACATTGACATACATACATACATACATACATACAT